GTCCTGACACTGGGAGTCCCTGGCCAGTCCCTCTGACGGTGGTGATGTGGGGAGAGGACAGGGTGGGGGTCTTCCCGACACGTGCACTGTCTCACCTGTTAGACAAGGCCTGCGCCCCCAGGAGCTCTTACTGCGCCAATGCACGGCCAGTTCTTGTCACTGCGAGACAAGTCCAACCTGTGTCGGTCTCAGACATCTGTGACATTTTCATGAAATGCACCTAGAATAAGTAAACACTGACAACGTAGGCTCTAGGAACGAAACGCCGACGGCCTTTTCAATTAAAGGCTTCAATCTGGTTCCTTTACCCTTAAGTTAGGAAACGTGGGGGTGGAACTTAATGGAAACCTTTCTGGTTACAGGCTGAATTCTAGGACCGTAGCCGCCCTGCCCGGGACTGCAAGGATGGGGTCTGCCCCTGCGAGGGGGGCCACAGAGGCTGTTACAAGGCGAGCCTGGGACATGCAGCCGCCAGGTAAGCAGGGTCCCCGCTCCCATAACGCGGGCATTTGCACAGCGAGCCTGCTGCGAGGGAGGGAGGTCAGTTTCATGGCTTCTGAACTTGGAAACCTAGCGCGATGGCAGTGGTCTTGTCTGACGCAGACCTGCCCGCCGTGACAGCTCACCGGGGCTGCACACGGGGCCTGGCGATGGGGTGGGGCCGGCCGTGCTTCTCGGTGTCTCTGTAACCGCGTGAAGGTGTGAAAGGGACGTATGCTTAGCCGCGGTGTTCGCCTGGATCCAAAAGGCTCATGGAGGAGAGACTGCTCTTCTCATTCGGGGAAGGGGAGGCAAGACCCGGGGGGACGGCCATTTGCATTCTGTACTCGGAACGGGGTGCTAGCTCCAGGGGATCTGTTGGGGGACTGTCCTTGGGCCCAGATGGGGGTGAGGCCACTTGGGACACGTAATTCAGAGTGGTCTCTCCGGCTGGGGTTTCCCCCGGGGAGTTCATGTAGCTCGGCTCTAGGGACGTCAGCAAATTCCCAGGTGCAGTCAGCAGGCCCCCCAGCCCTGGGGGGGCTCTGTGGGGTGCTGGGACGGGGCCACAGGACCCAGCGTCAGGGGCTGCCTGATTGTAGGTCAAGTTCTCAAAGCAGATGCCAGGGCCCGGGCCCGCGGAGCTCTTCTCTGTGGGCAGGAGGTAAATGTAGTCGTGCTTAGTGCGGTCCGTTTCTGCCAGCGACTTCCTGGCGCCCGGGAACTGGGCCTTAATCCCCTCGGGCTTGTTCACCACCTCCAGCTTGTCGGGGATGCAGTCATGGCACTCATGATTGTCAGGTGGGCGTTCTCCTGGCACGGAAACAGAAACAGGAAATGTGACGCGGGCCTAAGTCTGTGGGAGGCGCGTGGAGCTGCCGCTTTTCTCGGTCCCTCCTGGTCAGTGTTAACTGGAGGTTAGCAGGGTGTCCCCCTCCCAACGCCCTGGGAGAGGGGGGCCTGGCTCGCTCTGTCTGTCGTCCTGGGAAGTCCACGGAAGTGCGATTGCTACAGCCCAGCCGGGGCTGGAGTTTCATAGGTCTAGGGTTTCCATACAATTCCCCAGCACTTACCTTGGGTTTTAGTAAGGACAGGACGCTGCTCTTGTACGGGTCTGGAATGTCAGGATAACACGTCTCCTTCATCCTAGAAAAGCAGTGAAAATGAGACTGAATCTTGCTTCAATGTGTTGGAATAGTTGTGAATGAGAACTCTGAAGTCAGATTCCTGGGTTGTAACCTTGCTCTGTGGCTCACTAACTGTGACCTTGGGTCAGCTGCTTAACCCTCGTGTACCTTTAATTTCCTCAGCAGTTCCATGGAGACAATGACGGTGCTCAGGTGGGGCAGTGAGATTGAGTGAGTTGTTATATGTCAGCACTTAGATCAAGCATGTCAAACTCAAAGGCTAACAAGAGCCAAATAAACAAGGTTTAAGTGTATGTGGGCCGCAAAGAAACAAAAGCTTCATAGAAACGTAGGTTTATTTCGATAGAGACATGCTGAATACAAAGGGCTGAAATAGATGTTAACATTAAATTATAGAACATTTTAATAAAAATTAATATTTTTTTCTTGAACATTAACTTACCAGACACTGAATAACTGCACAAATTAATAAGTGTGATGCAAATAAATCTATTTTTCTTGTTCTCCGAAAGCTAAATATTTATGTTGTGCACACCAAGTCAGTCTAAGACTAATGACATGGCAATTGGCTGCTAAAATATTTGCTGCTG